TTTCTCCAGAGGCCTGTAAGACTTATTCTAAGACTATAATATCTAGTAATAACTACTCCTGGGAATGTTATTAAGTCTGAAAACTTCAACAGCTTTATATATTTCCTTATTTTTGCCTAGCAACCTAACTCTACATCTTGTTTCCTTCACACAGTCTTATATTATGCCCTAATCAATACAAGAACAACCTGTAGCATATCATTTTCTCAGAATTTGTTGCTATAAATGGTGTCAATCTTTAAGACTGGGCTGTGAATGCAAAATACCAGTTCAAGAATCCTACTGCAAATATTAAACTAAAAAGCTTTCTGCAGTAAATAGTGTTATGACAAGGGCAACAGAAAAATGGTTCACTTCTTGTGCATTCTTTCTTCCTTACCACAGTAAGCAAGGCCTCGTTTACTGCTGCTTAACATAACATCTTTACAAATGTAAATGTCATTGCCTCTGCTTTTCATACATTTTTAGTTTAAATTGCCATTGTACTGCAGTTGCTAAGTCTGATGAAGTCTGATTCTATGAAATTTCTTTGAAGACAAATGTTCAGCCAAATGGCATTGATCAAATTGGTTCTGAGAATAGTTTACCAGATTGCCTTGTGCTGTATGTGCACCAGTACTCTGTGGCTGTGACCATGCTGCTATTTCACCCATGAACAAAAAGTTTCTCTACAAGTGTAATTCAGACTTCTAATTTAAGTGTTGTGTTAATATAGGTGAATATATTATTGTTCAACTACTTGCTTCTATATGGTTTAACATGATAGAAATAACTATCTTGATATCTCTCTCGATGAAATATTTTCTTTAATAGCAATTATTTCTTTAATTTTCTAGCTCTTATTATTATTAGTTACTATAGAATAACAATGCACCCCTACTACAGAATTAGCATTGAAGGTAATGAACATAAAACTAATTTTCTGCATTTTCACTACATTTTATGGTATGACTAATGATAATTTTTCATTATAAAATGTTAAGCAAATAACTTTGCACTCCTTTTTTCAACAGAGCTTCTGTAATTAGTGGTTTATGTTTATCAAACTATTTAAATTTTTGTCACATATCAAGGACAATCTACCATATGTTTTACACTAATTAGAACTTTGTTTATTTTAAGAATTCCATTAATTCAGCAGCTACTTTTTAAAGAGCCAGCATGGAATAGGAAACTTTGCCTGAGTTTTGCTAAGAAGAAATAAGGTTCCTCTTCTTTATAAGTAGCCTGCTCTGGCAGACAGATATCCAAATCTTCAGCAGATAATTTAGGCAGAGAGAAATGTGAGTTCTAGATACAATACAACTATGTAGTTTGTCTTTTAAAAAACATAGAATTAAGTGGAAGAGAATATACTTCTATGTGCAACATCCGTTGGTTTATAAATATTGACTTTTCTTTCAAAAAGAGAAAAATAAACATAGTGCACATGATACATATTTAAACGGGACTAAGTAATGAGCTTTACTGTTTCTAGCATGGTTAGGGTATTTTGTTAGTCCTAGAATGACATCTGCCTTTACAGATCATCTCTGGTCTTTCTTATAAATAGGTTTGCACTTCTTGGGAATCACTGTATGTCAAGAGTCCCCTCGACCATCATTCTCTACACCTCTTATTGCTGATATGAAGCCATTCTAAATAAGACTTGATACTATGCCAACCGTATTTAATAAACACATAATTTCTGAACAATGATGATGTCAAAGTGTAAGGATATTTTAAGAGATGTGGATAGTATATGTGTGTTCAGACAAAATGAGAAAATAACATCGGAAAAGGAGCATTTACACCTTGGGAAAGCATTTGTGAATATTTAAATCAATTTCTAAGCAGAACCTTTTTTGATATATATTGCAAATAGTTTATGATTTGTAACAATAACAATTTGCGTGGTCAACCACTCATGATCTTTTTTTGATACATAGACATAACAGAAAATTCAGAAGATATGATATTTTCTACCTTTTCATCCACGTTCTTTGATAAATTTACTTTAAATTCAGTCCGTTGGACATACAAGAAAGGCTTCTTTACAGTTCTCATTTGTTCTGCATTGATACATTTCACCAGGCTGATATGATATAATGCAACAGAAACCCACGCAAAGCCATGCAAGTTGTCCAATTAATTTGGTTGGAGACTTCAATTAAAAACTATTTTGCTATGTTGAAGCTGATAAAACTATCCTGGAATGAAAGATGATTTGTTCTATTTACACGTGGCTCCTGGCAATAGGTTATAATATAGTATTGTAGTTAATTTAAATTTTATTTAGATATTTACTATTATGTTACCATGTTAGGTGAAAATATTTTACTTATGTATCATAGTGCAGTACAGTAGAAAAATAACAGAAATATGTGTAAAAGTGGGTCTGTAAAATCCTTCACACCAGTGTTTATACAGAATTAGTATGTTTTTCTTCATACGATGATGTTTGTATATTTACATACTTTCTAATAGTGTATAGGTAGAATTTTTTTATTTTCAGGACAACTAGTGTCAAAACCCTAGTGTGCTGCACAAATGCAGTTGGAAAGAAATGTCATGATAAACAATTGTTTGTTTACCTCTCTTACATTCCAAGACCCTGAGAGGTTTGTTTATTTTTTTGCGTGTTTCCCATCAAGATGAGCAGTTCCTATTTCCCTGAGAATCTGAACTTAATTTTCCTAAGTTATAGGTGCTTATAACAGTTACTGAATAACATAATTGATTATTTCTTAGTATTTTCTACAGAAATTAATTCACATAATTTATCTTTCAATAATGAGGAAGAATTTTTATTTAATGCACTTTCAGTATAAATTTTTCTGCATTTTTTTAACTGTCATGTTTTCTGTTGAGGAGTCTAATACAGAAGGGCTTCTCTAGGCAGAAACTTAATTTCTGACTTGAGAGATGCTACACCCAGTCTAATCACAGGTTAATTTTGAAATAACTTGAGGCTTGTAGAAGTTTCTTTCCGTCTGGATGCTGCTACCAAACATGTTGCTGTCCCAAGAAATATCACACGAAGGCTTATCTGTGATATGGTAAAAGAGTTTTTCCTTATTAGTTTTAATGGAGCTTAAAATTAAAATTTGAGTCTTTTGAGAAAACTAAGCCATGAAAAGCTTAAGCAAAAATCATCAGCTGAAATTTAGAAAATAAAGATATTAGAAAAAATAAGGTCTGAAAAGATATTTTCAGCTAATGCCTCCTTTCCCTGAAACCTTAACACATTCCATTAAAAAAACCAAACACTCTTTTAAATTTTAAAATTTCATCTGAGTGATTTTCTTTCTTTTCCAAGTTTTACCAAGCTTGCTGTACTCTGTTCTCCCTGAAAATTAATTCTCATCCTTTTTACTATTTCTCTACTCCTTTGATACTAATATTTGATTTTTAGTATTGCTTTCCCACAAGGTTCTCTGATCTAGTAATCAATTCTTGGAATAAGTCTTCAGGATCTATTTATTGTAGAAGAAGCAGCAGACATTATAGGCTTTGCAGCTTTGTTGGAAAAAAAAAATCCATTCTTCTGATTTCAAATTAAAGGGAAAAACTAGTGAGTTTTGTGGGACTCAGCAGTGTCCGTGGAGCCTATAAATTGCAGTGTCTGAATACAAACATAACTTGGTTACATTTTTACTCTAAATGGTGGTCTTTGGCTGGTTGGTATTTTAATAAGCACAAACTGCTTATTATGAATGAGATTCCTCTGCATTTACACTGACTTGTTAAAGTCTGTTTCACTTCCTGACTTGGAGAAATTTGAAAACATTCTTTCCTGATAGGTACAGGTTTTGACAGGGTTATTTAAAACAAACAAACAAACAAACAAAAAAAGAAAAGAGTAACTGACTTAGATTTGTAAGATTGCAGTTCAGGGAACAATACAAATATTGCATCATTACCCATATTATTTCATGAAATGTGAAAAGTTGAAAAAATACAGTTCAGTTGTAGATGAGATGGTCTCATTGCTTAAGTTAATGGTACCTCAACATTTCTATGTTCATGTAAATTAGAAAATACTTTTGCATTATTGATTACAACTTTTTTCTTCAAATAAGTTTCAAATTTCCTTGGTAGAGTTTAACCAGCTATGTGACTTCACAGATTTAGTTTCAGGTGATATTTTTTTATGTTACTCAAAGATAGCTCATATTCTGAAATTATTTGAACAGTAACTGAGCAAAACACTATCAAAAGATATACTATTAAAAGACATATCTATTGACATAGAAGTATTAACTTCTTTCTGTAAATTTATGTGTCTGGATGCATTTAAGACTAAATGAACCTGTTATGAACACAGTAAAAACAAATTCTTGGTATATATAGATAAAATAAACCACTGCAATTTGTACTGAAAGGTAATCAACACACTCTCTTTGTTATCAATTGGTTATAACACGTTAAAAATATCTCTTAGAAATTGCAACAAAAGGAAAAAGTTATCTAGTTTCCTCTTTTTGTTAAAATTATAAAAGAAAAATCTATCTTATAAAAGGAAATAAATTTAGAAGAGTTTTGCATTTAGCCTATTCCTAATGCTATTTTTACTGCCATAAACTTATAAACCAGTAAATATTTGAAAAATTGCAGTACCCAAAACAAAGAGCATAATTTTGAGCAAATGTTGTGTAAAATCAAGGTTTGAAATTTTGGGGACAGATTATTGCCTTGAATAAATTCTCATTCTTCAAAATTATGCCAAGTTTTACAGGGACTCGTGCAGTTGAACTTTGAGCATCTCTCACGATAGAGGTAAAGTGACAGAGACTGAGTGGCCTCTTTGGATAATGTGTTCCAGCACTTAATCAAAGTCATTGTGAAAAAACAAATATGTGAAAAACAGTGGAGGAGTTTAAAAATAGTGTGCTGATTTCACCTTTGAGCAGGAAGGAGGATGAACTAGACTGTCTCATTTGGATCTGTATGTCTATGATTTTATGATTTTTGTGATAACTGATTCTGCAAATAATATATTTTTCTGCTTTTAATTGCAGCAGGAAAAGAATCAGGAAAGCTCAAGAAATAAAGGTAAGTGACAATTATTCTAAAAATGGGGCCATTCTTGTAATTATCACAAATCTAATATTCATTATTGGTAAAAAATATCCAGGTGGTTTGTTTGCTGAGTATTTTGGTATTTGAAATGACAAAAATATATCCAGGAAATAGGTTGAAATGTAGAAAGTATGTGTATTAGCTACTGTTTTTAGAACTCTGAGATGAACAAGGCTGACTGCTATAGTCTGGGTGGGATAAGCTGCACGCTTAACTTCTCACTAAGTTTGTCCCTGCCTATGGATGCTTATTATACTTCAATAAAACATCAGTACCATCAATTTAGCTTCTTCCTTTCCATTCAGTAAATCTGTAATTGGATGTGATTCCAGTTTATGTACAAATTAATCATTTCCTTAATAGGTTGCCTTGCAACATGACAGTTGTGGGTGTTTTTTGCTTACAAAATATTTTCACTGAACCTTACTCAGTGCCAGTGACTAAGTACTATGTGAAATAGAATATCTGGGTTAAAAAAAACAGCCTTGTTTTGAGAAAATTAGGACTTCAGAAAACCAAATTATGGATTTCATGCTTGTTTTTCTAATATAAAGTCTGTTAAGAGACAGAACAGTGAAATCTCTCAGTTAAAATTTTGGTAAGCAAACAATGAAAGACAAAATTGCCAATAGTGGCAAAGATTGTTCTCTTCATATTTTACTTCTTTATAGAGGTAGGTTATGAGATACTTTAAAACGGAAAACAGAGGGAAGGTAGGAGAAAGAACACCAGTTACATGCTACAAAGAGAGGAGGGAATTAAGTGACAAACTAACCCATATCTTTTGTATTGCCTTAGGAAGCCATGTGTAACCATATCACTGGAGTTAACTGTTCTTTATTCAGTTATTTATGTACCGCAGTACCCATTTATCTCAATTGCCTTTTTATCCCCTCATGCTAAGGCTAGACACAAGCATCAAAAGACAAACTAAAGCTGATGGTTAATTGGAGTTGTGTCAGGACAACTACATTGTTCGTGATGATATGATAATTTACATCATCTGCAGGACCTATGGTCCTTCACTTGAAGAGTTTGCATGGGAAAAATAACTGAACCAAAAAATCCTCTTCAACCAATTTGTGATTTATAAATTTCTTTTCTTAGGAAATACAATATAAAGTTGAATCATCTCTACAAGTAGTGACTGTATCCATGATGTATTATTCAAAAATCTTTCATGTGTTATGACTTAATACAAATTATAAAAAAGATTGTGAAAACACAGATGAGATTACAGAAGTAAGATATTTGCTCTAAACTTAAGTATTCACAATTAGAAACTTTAAGCATTTATTTATAGAGAAGGATCCTGAAATGGGCCACTTTCTTGTTTTTCATGATTTATTTCAGTTATATTATGATGTTTGACAGTCTTTTTCCCCCACCCCACCCCATTCTGTTGCCAGGTAGTCATTATGGTACATATGTGAGGGATAAGTAAAAGTAGGAATAAACTAATGACCTAGGTGGGAGTGCCTATCATATTCATTAGCTGTTAGTCTAGTCAGCTAATCACAGAAACAATTTTCAAAGGCTTATAAAATATCACCCACAACTACATCCAAAGGAAAGCAGTAAACTCTACTTGAAGGAAGATATCCATTGTCTCCAAACAGGCAGTGAAATTGGTGCACCACTGCACAAAGTTTATTGTGATTCTATATGTAGGATCTCTTGTGGAAATTTTCAACCTACTAAACTTCCTGCATGATATGCATGTCTCTGCCTAAACTGGCAATTCAACTTAGAAGGTTTTAGTGGTCTGGAAGACTATTCATGCACGGAGTAGGCTTTGTAACATAAGTCTATATCTATATATACAGATATACTTTATTCTGTAATGCTTTTTTTGGCTGCTTTTACAATTGCAGGTTTTTTGGTGTTCTCTTTTCTTATTCTTTAAATGATTTTGGGTTTTTTTGTTCACGTGCTCTTTCTCCATGTCACTGCAAATTTTCAAAAATATATTTTTATTTAACTTGTAACTTACAGTAGGTAGCATCTTTAAACTCTTTCTGCTTAAAATACTGGTTGATGTGGGTGAAACAAGACTATGTGTTTCAGCATAAACATTCTTGTGTTGGCAATGAACAACTACACTTCACAAGCAATATCTGAAGGTTTTGTTCTCTGCATGTGTTTTTGTGAGATACCTGAATTATCCTCAGATTCTCAGGACAAGGTTCTAACAGTACTCCTTACACTCTGCATATTGCAGCCACTCTATGTGGTAGAAGAACTAAATGTTTTCTGTGGTTCCTTTACTGCTCTGGCACTTTCAGAAAAAGTTCTGTCTTCTTAATTCAGAGGAAAATTACAGCTCGTCCCTACCTAGTGAGACACTGGAGTCTCCGTTGTGCCTCGTAACTTCCATTGATGTCAGTATTTCAGTGTCTAATTTTTATTAATAATTTCATTACATTATATTTTTATAAGAGGAGAGGATGTTGCAGCATAATGGAGTTGAATACTTTTTGACTTCAGTGGGATCAACATATTAGTAACAAGGACCATTCTGTAGCTTATATTTTGAATGCCAGTAATTTTTCGTTTTACTTTATTTATATTATAAGAAAAACCTGATTACTATTCATATTTTAGTAAGGATGTTCTTATTTTCCTGTAGAGTTTGTTTATTCTCCTGACATTTTTCTGACTTGCTTGTTTTTCCCATCTGTTACTTCTGCTGTCAGCCTCTAAGTCAGTCACACCAGAGGAGAAGCCAGTACTCAAACATACCCTGTTCTGACAGTAACCCCATCTCTCTCTGATCTGCGATATTCCTTTTCTTGTTTTATTTAAAAGGTAACAGATCTTTTTGTATACTTTTTGAGGAAAGCAACACTGCTTTTATGTAAAATAATGTTAACATTTTAGAATTTTAGTGTATGTTGGTAAACTTCCTTCTGAGAATTTTTTGTGCATGAAAATGATTATCACCAGTGCAAAACACAAATGAGATTAGTTTCATAACACTTCTGTAATATGAAAGAAATACCAAGGCAAATAGTCACTAACTAAACTTTGCTGAATTTTACTTGCTGGCTTGGAATCACAGTTTGACCTTCCTTACCTCTCCTTTCCAGTGTTAGCTCCTTCAGACAAAAAAAATCCATTTTATTCCAAACCTATAGTGAAAGATAAAATAGATATTTTTGTAATGAATTGAAAAGATCAGAAATGGTGTTACATTTCAGCAACGCAAAAAATTTTCTTCACAGCCTATGCTTGACTTTGGAGACATTCATGTACTTTTAGTAAAGAACATTACGAACTTTAAAGTGGAAATGCTTTCTAACAATTTTATTCTAAAAACCTTTTATTTCTGAGGTACCAGAAGGTTGACTAGTGAAATAAATCAACTATTTGCCAAACTTGAAAGGCATCTCTATTCCTTTGATCAGAAAAAGCATTAGCACCCAGGAAACAACAAGCTGCAAAAAGCATTTCAGATGATCAGTTCCTAAACTCAGTCATAGTTTGAATTACAGCACAATACTTTTATTTTTTGAGAATTTAGAAGTCAATTTCAGTATAGATAAGCAGTTTGTAATATACATTTCCAAAGAAACCCAGCAAATCAGAGAAAACAAATTCTGATTTTCTGCTGAGAGTAACGTGATTGTTTTGCTGATATTGAAGAATGATATGATACTGCACACAAGTTGTGTAACATTAGCTATTTATTTCAATAACATAAAGAACACTCACTGAAAGATATAAAAAGTGCTCCACCTAAGATTTGGAAAAGATGCACTTTTAATGGCATTTTCAAAATGTGCATGCAAATAATTTTAATGATAGTAACTCAAAGACTTTTACATTAGTTAAGTGCACTTCAGATACTGACTGTATAGTATGCTGCTAAAATATTTGTGAGCTACTATTGATCTGAGTTTAAATGGCACTAACACTCAAAACTAATTACAAGTTGAGTTTCTAATTGTGCTTAATACTTCTCATTTTATCCTTACCTTAGTAATCAGAATGTAAAACCATTGTTGACTCACAGATCAGTTTCAAAAACATAATTCTCTGTGATTATGAACATATTGCCAGACTTTTCTAATATCATTAACAAACATCTGTTCCTTTTATAATCTTTAGCTACCAAAACTAAAGGGGAAACCATATGGGCATCTATTGCATATCTTGTTTTTTACTCCTTAAAAAGTTAGCATACCTGCACTTGTGGCCCTGTCTGGGATTCCAGATTGGTGTAATCTTTTTCTATACAGTGATAAATGTAAGACAAGAAGGAGTAAGAAAAGCTTAAGATAGTTCAATATTGAAAGAATTTAAAGGACAAAACCAGTAAGGCCTTAATTAAAGCAATAACTTGTAAAAATGAAATTGTATCTGGAGATAGTCTCAAATGCCAGTGGGTGAACAAACAGATCTATCCTTCAATATATCTTATTATTTTTGATGACAGACAAAGCTATGCACGTTCTGATGTAGAATACATGACATCAACATCCTTTGTCATTTTAAACCAATTAACTGTGACAAAAAACCCACATTATTACTTTCTGTAATGTATCCAGTGACTTATTATGTTTGCTAAATTAAATTATTCTAAATTTGTATTTCACTAGTCATGTATTAATTGCATATTGTTAGAATATGAACTAGAATCCTCCTGGACTGAATTGATTAATGTCTTATTTTGTTACATTGCAATAACCCATCTCTACAAGAGCAGTACATTTCAGAAAGAAAATGTAGTATTTTAGAGAATATGTGTAACAGCAGGTAAGTTAGTAAATATTTGTTCAAGAATGTTGTTTTCACTGAAATGCAGCTACTAAACACTCTGACCTACAGTGTTCTTTGAAGTTTTTTTCTTTGTCATTATGTTCCAACTTACCTGAGTGAATAAATGTTCGGGAGCTGCTATGAGGTTTGTTTGAATTAAGTGTGCCAAATGCTATCCCCTTTAGCTGTTTCAGTCCCCTCTGAAGCCTAGT